TGTGTGTGTGTGTGTGTGTGTGTATGTGTGTGTGGAGGGGGGGGAAGGACAGACGGGGACGGATACCTACCTTTCTCCACAACCACTTACCTACAGAGCGCTCTCTCTCTCTCTCTCTCTCTCTCTCTCTCTCTCTCTCTCTCTCTCTCTCTCTCTCTCTCTCTCTCTCTTCTCTTTTTCGGGTGTGCATATGGTCGTGATTGTGTCTGTGCATGCGTTTGCATGAGCGTATATATATATATATTATATTATTGTTGTGGATGAAAAACTCATGCGATTGCATACTCGAGAGATGAAATGAATGACCCGACCTACCTTGTCTTGGCTGTCAACTTCAAGATTGAAGGTGTTCCCCTTCAGAGTCTTCACAGTTATCTTCATTGTTGCAGCCTCTACAAAATACACAGCACCAAAACAGCGACGAAGTCCGCTCAACCTACCTCCTCCCCTTTCCGCACTCCCTCACCCCCACTTCTCCTTCACACAGACTCCCCCCCAACCTCTCCCACTCTGAGGCTCTTTTCGCACGACTCTCGCACCGTCTCCAAGCTCCAAATGCTTTTTTTTTTCTCTCCCGCCCTCCTCTCCGGACTCCAAATGTTTTCGCTCTCCCGCTCTCTTCCGCCACACACGCGGCGCAAGAAATTCTCTTCCCCGCCCACCCTTCGCACGAAAAGCAAATATAGCGAATCAACAAAACACAACAAGTGCGCGCGCGTGCGTGTGCGTGTACGTGTGCTCAGGGTAAACGCTTTTTGAGCGCATCTCTGAACCCAATGACGACCAGATTCTGTCCAAAAACGTGCGCGCCAGTGGTGTTTGTTCCTGCCCTCAGCCGGCAATGGCGCCGGAACGGTGCACCGGCGCCGTAATCGAGAACGCCCAGAACACGATTCGATATTCAATATGGTGTTCGACTTGTTGTTGGACTTGAGTGCTTCTGCAACTTTGGTGGCCGGAGTGGGTGCGGGAGCGGGGGAGCAGGAGCGGGAGCGGGAGCGGGAGCGGGAGGGAGCGGGAGAAGATGAAATCGATGGGGGATGAAATTGTGACGGGCAAAACAATGCGGGGCGCGGTGGGGCGCGGTGGGGCGATGTGGGGCGCGGCGGGACAGGCGGGG